CTGCTCTTGCCAATCCACGGCCTGTCTCCTGACTGCCTGAAGGGCCAGCCAGGCCGAGGAGGCTGCTCTTGCCAATCCACGGCCTGCCTCCTGACATCCTGAAGGGCCAGCCAGGCCGAGGTGCCAATGCCGAAGTGTGCTAGGGGCTGGCGCTGCAGCATCTGCTGAGGCTGGCATGGATACAGGCTAAGAATAGCCTGTTCCCGAAACCCTGGTTTGGTGCCTGAGTTTCAGGGCCGGTTGTTCTGACCGAAAATAGCCCTTCGTTTCAGGCTAAAAAGGCTCTTGCCATTTTTAGTTTGAAACGACACAGGGACTGTAGGCCCCTGTTTTCAGGCTGAATTCTAGGCTTTTTGGCTGAAGGGCGCAGGGCCTGGAAAATGGCTTGTGTGTGCAGGCGCAGCATGTAACACCCCCCCCTCCTTATGAAGTCAAGCCGGGGTGAGGGCAAAGCCGATGATCTGAAGGTGGAACCTGGACGCGGGCGCAGCGTGGAACCGAGGAAACCGGCTTGCCTTGCATCTTGCGTTCATAGCGTGCGAGAACGTTTGGAGCTGTCGCTTGAAGTTCCGCACGGGTTAACCATCAGTCAGCTCCGTGTGTGCAGTATGCAAAATGCACCAAATATTTAGTCGGCCTGCTGCCGTAGCGTCGCTGGGAGATGATGTCGCCGACCTCCTGAAAACCATCCATAGAAGGTGGGTCTTGCGTACGCCTCCCGGGAAAATCGTCATGTTCTGCTGGCGTGTAGAGAGCCAATTTGGAGCAATGAAAGATTGGGTAGACGGGCAAGTGGTCGGGCAGCTGAATCGTGAAGGAAGGTCCTTCGGGTGCGTCCCCAGCGGGCGCTACGATCGGCCAAGGCCCCATCCATTTCGGAAGGAGCTTGCGAGAGATGTCTTGTTCAAGGCTGAATTCCGCTGCGGAAACCCAGACGAGGTCACCAGTGCGGAATGGACAAGGAAGACGCTGGCGATTGGCCTGCTGGCTCATGTGCTGTTGCATCTTAGCCATCTGGTCGCGTGCCTTGACAAGAAGCTCTTGCATCCTACGCAAGAAAAGAAGATGGTCGTCGCTCTCGGTCGTGCGTGGAGTAATAGTGTCCAACGGTGACGTGACCGGCGAGCCGTGCTCGAACTCAAAGGGTGATATCCCAATAGCCGGGTGGATGGAAGAGTTGTAGGCCAACTCGACGTCCGGCAGTCGCTCAACCCAATCATTCTGGTCGGGGCAGATGAGATTGCGAAGAAGAACCTGTGCGGTCTGATGCGCCCTCTCCGTCTGGCCATCGCTCTGAGGGTGGCGAGCTGAACTGGGCTTGAGAGATGAGCCCCATCGCTTGATGAGCGCCAACCAAAAATCGGACATRAACCGAGTGTCGCGGTCGCAGACGATCTCCTTGGGGTAACCCTTGGTTCGAATCCAACCGGCGTAAAGAACCTCGGCCAACTCCGGTGCCTTGGCATGATAGCGACAAGGCAAAAACATGGCGAACTTGGTGAGTCGGTCGACCACCGTAAGAATCCCATCCACTCCGGTCTTGTGCTTGGGGAACGGGCCGGTAATGTCCATGGCAATCGCTTCCCTTCGCCTCAACGGGACTGGCAATAGTCGTAACTCGCCGTACGGACGATGGTTGCGGGATTTGCAGCGTCGGCAAACCTCGCATGACTCACAATACCGCGTGACGTCGCCGAGAAGGCCGGGCCACCAAAATCGTTGGCGAAGTCGGTCAATCGTGCGATTGACTCCAAAGTGTCCGGTGGCGGGAGCATCGTGGAACTCGCCAAGAAGCCGTGTACGCAAGTGAGGATCACTTGGTACGCAAAGAAGGTCCTTCCCCCGCATGTGGACAAGCAAGTACCCCTCTTGGATCCGGTAGTGAGAAGGAGCCGGATTAGGAGAGGAGCAATTCGCGTACTTGTCGCGAAACTCGGGGTCGGCTTGGTAGCCGCACATGAAACTGTTCCGCAGGTTGTCGTCGATCTCGAAGGTTGAGTAGACTGCGATACAATGATCCGGACGCCGTGAAAGAGCATCCGCAAAACGGTTGGACTTCCTGGGAATGTGATCGGGAAAGAAGTCGAACTGGTCGATGAAAACGATCCATCGAGCGATGGTGCTATTGACGGTGTCTTGGGTCTTGTAAAAGACCAACGGATTGTTGTCCGTTACCCAGCGAAATTGGCTTCGACCAAGGAGGAAGTGCCGCCACCGCTTGAGCGCGTGGACAAAGGCGAGGAGCTCCTTCTTGCGTGCATCATCAATGGAATGCACGATGGGCACTTTCTTGCTGAAGTATTCGACCGGGTGCCAGTCCACACCGTCATGTTGCTCGAGGACTGCACCAATGCCATAGCCTGACGCATCCGTAGTGACGCGCGTAGGCAAGAGCGGGTCGTATATCCGCAAGACCTCCGCAGACAATAGCGCGGCTTTGAGAGCGAAGAATGATCCCCGCGCCTCCTCTCCGAAGTCGAACGGCTGATCCTCGCATTGAAGCCTGTTCAAGTGGGCCGCGATCTTCGAGTAGCTTTTGATGGAGCGCTGATAGTAGCCGGCGAGACCGAGGAACGAGCGGACATCCGTGACGTTCCGAGGCTCCGGCCACTCTTGGACGGCCTGAATCTTGTCCGATAGCGGACTGATG